CCCCCCAAAAAAAAACCCCATAAAACACAGTGACCTTTATATTCTGCCTCCCCGCCCCAAAAAAAACCCATAAAACTCACACAGTTATTTCAGGTCTAGAAAATTTGTTCCTTAATTTTAGAAGACAAAATAAACCAGAATTTTCTGTTACTTAGCTTTCAACTACTTGGACACATAACTAAGATAGATTTGGATGAGAACATATCAGTTTTTTAAAAGTTTCCCACAAACTCCTCTTAAAGACACATGTGGCTTATCACTGGGATTATAATGGAAAGTAATTTCCTAGAATTATATAAAAGAAAATTGATAAAGATGGAGGCACATGATATGCGTTTACCAGTTTCTTTGTGCCACGTGAATATACAACTAGGCAAACACATATCCATATACACCAATTTTTTATTATTTAATCAAGTTATTCAGATACAGAACAAGAACAAATATAGATGTTTCAAGCATAAATGTTTACCACCTTTTGCCATCATTTACAATAGCAGCAAAACCTTTATCTAGAAACTGTACTCATAAGTACAGTTTTGCTACAGTATAGTGAATATAGAAAATCTTATGATTGACCATACTGTAAATTGCATTAATGTTACTTTTATCTTGAGGTGTCCCACACCAATTATGCTGCATTATTCTTGGAACCAGTGCTGGAGCATGAGAAGTTTTTCCCCCCTGTATGGATAAGGGAGGGTGGGAGATGGGAAATTTGAATATGCAAAACTGTACATTTCTTCAATAAGATCAGAAGAATAAATAATAATTTTGCTATGGATCACTTTCCTACAATAGTGCAGCAGGTGAAGAAGAGCCTTCTAATAATGTCTGAAGACAAACTCTTTGGCACAAGACAGCCCCTGCTAGACAAACATGGAGATTTCTTTTAATTTAGTAGCATCTGGAAGAATAATCAGATTAAAAGGGCAGGGCAAACTCTTCAAAACGACAACATTCAAGTTCAGGCCACAGTAATTACTACATACAATAAGTAGATGTCTCCGCAGAAGCAAATCTAGATAAAAGACAGAACTCTCCAGAAAAGAAAGAGGTCTGAGATTCAAAGAACTATGAGGCTAATTCTGTAAGTCCAGGAAGACTTTAGACTTGTTTTTTTCTCCATCAGCAACCAGTCGTGTTTTCACCATGCTACATGGCGAACTTCTTTGAAGCTCACTTTTTTTTTTAATTTAAGGATTCGGCACAAGCCCACATAGTGCTTCAAGTCACATTCTAAGTGCCTTCACCCAGGAGAAAAAGAAATCAAACAGTTTCTGCAGTGACAAAGGCTATTTTGCTCCTTTCTTGGTGCTTTAAAATTGCTTATTTCTGACATGCTGTGTATCTCCCTCCCCGCCTTTTCCCCCTGCAACAATATCCATTCCCAAGGGTGGCATTTCTCTTGCAAGTACATGGCATTCAACCCCATTGCTTTGTATCTAGGAAAATGATGTACATCTCTGTGACAGGCTACTCATTGTTAACTAAAGAATATGTACAAACAACAGTAAGGATTAGGATAAAGCCTGGGAAGAGGCTGGAAAGGCTGCAGGGGAAAAAAGTAGAACTGAGGCAAAGAAGATGCACAGTTTAAGCAGGAAAGCAACAGTGTCACCAGAAAAGGGCAGCTCGCCTGTTGCTTGGTTTACTGATCAGAACGTAACAGACCAGACATAAATCACTAGCTTTACAAAATAGAACTGTGTATTCATTCCAGAAGGAATGAGAACATGGACTGAAAATGTGGCCAGAACAAATGTTCATTTGTTTTGAGAATGAGCACACTGAGGAAACAAAATACATTTTTGTTCTTATTATTCATTTATTCATTCATTTATTTATTAAATCTTTCTGCCAATAAATGCTACTCAAAGTAGACAACACTGACAAAATGACATAAATGCCAACACAATTAAAACTTAAAACCATTTCTCCTGTTATACTAATTTGTTACTCCTTGTTACCATTCAAGGAAAGGGCAAGGCCTACTTTTCTTACGAGCGGATAGCACTGGGCTTTATTTCTGTGGCTATTTCTGTCAGCCATCATTTCATATCCCCAGATATCTAGGTCCTTGGATGTTGCATTAGTCTGGAACATTTAAAGGTGGGAATCAGTAGCCACTAATTGTACATGTTAGTATCATACTCGTATAGCAGAAGACAGGAATGATGGCAGAACTCAACTGTGCTCTCCCTACCTCTGCCATGTGGAGTGGGGGTGGGGGTGGGGTAAGCAAGGAACAAGGACATCAACTGTGCTCTCCCTAACTCTGCCATGTGGAGTGGGGGTGGGGTAAGCAAGGAACAAGGACAGTAACTGCATATATCATAAGACGAATGTGAGACTTACAAATGGAGAAGAAAACATATCCAAGTTTAACAAATACTGAAATTATTCCTGCCTTTGGGGGAGTCTCCACCATCTGCCGCCCCTCAGGCACTGAGTGAGGGAAAGTGTGGCTCTACTGCTGCCAGTGGCCAGCCTTCCTGGGGGAGTTTGGCTCGGACTCCCTTGGCCTTGCAGGACTGGGCCCTCGCTGCCTCTGGCTGCCCCGTCCCCTCCTCAACATCAGCCACCTGGCTTGGAGGGGAGAAGGGGCCTTAGAAGGGGTTTTTATTGTGATTATCAATTGCCATCTCCACATAGAGACCCACAGTGGATCTGAGGGAACAGGAAGGGGGGAGGGTGTTGGAGGGGGTAGCCATTGAGGTGGTGCTAGGTAGAGGAAGGAATGGCGGTGGGAGTAGAACATGCCCATGTAGGAGAAGAGAGGTTAGATATCTTACATCTATCCCCTGTTCTAGTCCCACCCCAAGCCAGATGGTATCAGGTGACCATATCAGAAAACCCTCGAACTGCATGGTGCTCTTGATGAACTCTAGGTCAGTAAAAAATAAGACTCCCCTCAATCCATGATGTAATTCTGGATGAGGGTGTTGACCTGGCGTGCATTACTGAGACCTGGGTGGGACAGGAGGGTGGTGTTCCCCTCTCCCAGCTGTGTCCACCTGGGTATTCTGTCCAGCACCAATGTCACTCGGAGGGTCAGAGAGGGAGAGTTGCTATAGACTATAGGGGTTCTGTCTCCTTGACCAGGCTTCCTATCCCTTTGAGAGGAGGTCTTGAGGGCCTGTATTGTGTGTTGGGCTTACAAGACAGATTGGGGATTCTGTTGGTGTACCGCCCACCCTGCTGTGTACCAACAGTCTTCCTGCCGACCCGACGGAGGTAGTCTCGGACCTGGTGTTGAAGACTCCCAAGTTGTTGATGCTGGGGGACCTCAACATCCATGCCAAGGCTGCCTTGACTGAGGCATCTCAGGACTTCATAGCTGCCATGACAACCAGCCCGGCACATGAGAAAGGCCGTACCTTGGACCTGGTTTTCTCAGCGGGGCTGGAAGATGGTAGTTTGGATGTGGAGGGGCTGGTTGTGACCCCATTGTCATGGTTAGACCACTTCCTGGTCAAGTTTAGTCTATTAGCTTCTTCTCCCCTCTGCAAGGGTGGGGGATCAATTAAGATGATCCGCCCTCAGAGACTAATGGATCCGGATGGTTTCCTGAATGCTCTGAGGGATTATCCGTATTATATGGTCGGCGCTCCTGTCAAAGCTCAGGTCACCCTATGGAATACGAAGATGACCCGGGTGGTTGACACGATTGCGCCTAAGCACCCTCTTCCTGCATGCAGACAGCTCCTTGATATACTTCTGAACTGTGGGCGATGAAGCAAGAGGGGAGATGGCCGGAGCGCAGGTGGAGGAAATCCCACTGGGAGTCTGATCGAACATGACCTAGAGCACATTATCGGGCCTATTTCATGGCAATATGGCTGGAGAAAGGGCAATATTTCCCCAGCCATATTGCTTCTGAAGAATGTCATCCAGCAGAGCTGTTTCGGGTGGTCCAGGATCTTCTTCAACCAGGAAATCTGGGGGAGGCCCCGGACTGCTCATCAGCTCGCTGTAATGAGTTTGCCATTCATTTTGAGAGAAAAATCACTCAGATTTGCAGTGGGTTGGAATCCACCGTTACCTTAGAATCAGACGATGTGTCCAGTGTGCCATACTTTTGAAAGAGCTGTCCCTCAAGGAGGTAAGAGGGATGGCTTGTAGACAAAGGGCCTTTTCAGTAGGTGCCCCCAGACTAAGGAACGCCATCCCAAGGGAGATTTGTCTGGTGCCAACGTTGATGACATTTTGGTGCCAGGTCAAAACCTTCCTGTTCCAGAAGGGTTTTAATTAGTAAGTTAGTTAGTTTTATCAACTTAAATAAATAAAATAAATAAATAAATAAATACAATTACACCAATGGGGTAATAATATATTTAAAGATCCTCATGCACCTATACTAGGAGAGAGATAAAGAGATGTAAAGTGGTTGTGTTGCTGCATCAAAGCAATTCTTGGATCAATCCTCCAGCTAATATGGGAAACTCTCAGTAGACTCTGCAAAAGAAAGTGTCCTGCTTCAATTTTTTATTTCATTTTCTTTTTTAAGAATTAGCACAAGTCTTCATTCTTTCTGCACCACTGTCTTCCTCCACTGTGAAATATTTCATGGATTTTTATTGTTCATTCCTTGGAAACTAATCTACAGTATATTTTTGGTATAGCATATAGCATATCCATATTTATTTATTTTTTGGAAAAGAAAGGACACACCGCTTAACCTCTGCACATGAGTTCTTGCAATCACATCAGCAAATGTGATCTTGTCCCACACTAGGGACCTCAAAATATTGTGCAGAAAAACTAAAGTGTAGCTGAGATTCATATTGGCTAATCACACAGAAAGATCTAAGACCTATACCAATGAAAGCAACTGCAGAATCAGCCTCAATAGAGATCATCTTGCCAATGAGACAATCCTATCCTTTCTCTCCCAGAAGGGCAATCTGATTCCATTACTGCCACCAATATGTAGAGAGAAAAAATCACTTCACTTGGTATTCAACACAAAAGAGGACTAACAATGACAAACCACTTACCGTAACTTGCAGAGGCAGAAGAGCAGAAACTGCAGCCACCATTCTATTAAAGGGATCACAGAAGCACTTCCATCAACACATGATTAGAACGCTGAGTCTCGAGAGCTGAAAGTGTGCATAAATACAATCAGCTACAACCATTTTAAATTGCAAAACAATATGTTCCTTCTGTGAATTTAAACACTATTCCCTATTTCCTTTGCAGCTGTAATTCCCCTTCCCCGTCAAGCTTTGCACTTCAGCTACAATCCACTATCAGGCAACTTTTGGGGAAAAAAAGTATTAGGGGGTACAAATTTGTGAAAACAAAAGCAAACCCAGTTCTCACTGCAGTGTGTGTGCAGTAAAACACAGAAAATATTACAGAAATATAAGCTAATTTATTTCAAGTAATTCTTAATCCTGACAAAAATACAACAAAAGCCAATCCATCACATAAGAAACAAGATCTCTACATCTCAGAGCAAAACAAAGTACAAATTGCTCTTTTTTTCATTTCGTCATCAGCAACAACAGACAATAATTGAAAAACAACCATAAGAAGCAACCAAGAAGAATCCTATGAAATCTTTGCCAAGTTCACTGCACACTCACGCCTTTTGTACTTGTGACTCTGCAATGCTGCCATCACATCTTGCCGTGAAACGGATATCGGTATGGCACAGATTGGTGGACCTCCTAATAAACTATGTTCTGGAACAATAAGTCTCAGAACTCTAATCAGCAATTAGTTTTCAATTAGGCAAAGAGAATCACTCAGGCAAAGGAGCAAGGGAAGGAAAGGACCAACCTAAAGCAGCAGGGGGCAAAAGGCAAATGTGGGATTGCTGGTAGATCTTCCAGTGATCTGCCATAGATAAGCATGGATTTCAGAACTGTTTAACAACCAAAGAAATGAAATTACTGTTCCTACTCTAAAATGATAATGCTAAAATGAAGAAACAGGGATGTTGTAAGGATAGACTCTGAACTCCCTCCAAATGTGGTATTCAAAACCAATTCATGGGCTCAAAGACAAACTGCATGTGTCATTTACACTGTAGTGTGAGCTTTACTTCGATTTATTTACAAGCATGCAGTCCCCATTCCAGATAATCAGACAACTACAAACAGGAAGTGGACATTTAAGAATTTCTCACTTGCTTCATTCTGACACCCCTTCCCAACAAGGTTTTTAAAAGCCTCCATTGATGCCAGGGATCTAATTGCCCTAGACTATATGCACGTGTAATCTACACAGCTTCCGAGTGGTCTCCACATGTCTTGCCAAATTATACAAGTGCACATTTTCAAATATGGAATCAGCAAGTTTGAAACACCCTTCAAGGTTTCGCAAATGCCAGCTATCAAGGCAAAAGCAAGAGATCTCAAACTGGGATCTCCAGCAAGCAGCTTCTTAAGCTTTGCCTCTTGTGTCACCAGCACTCTGGAGCCTTAGGAGACTGTCCTACAGATCAAGTTTCAGCTTGAAAGGAATCACTTCATTTCTCACCCCCTGTTTCTATGCTGACTCCAACAGAGAACTGGCACACAACAGGCCCTATAAATGCTTTGATGTGAAGCCAGGTTGTTAGTCAGAGCAACTTGCTGCTATGTTGCTACAGTTGCCATGCAAAGTTGTCCATAAATTTCAACATCAGCCTAACTTTGGCCATGACCTCTGTCTCCAGTGTTTCTGCCCTCATCGTTCATGGCACAACCAGGCCTTGTCACAGTTGTAGTCTGTTCTGATATAGGACCTGACCTAACAGGGAACTTCCATAGCTTAAAATATCAACTCCCAACATTATCTACACACATTTCCTAATGATTTGAATTAGTGACCCCTTGTACCAAAATGTAAACTTACATTAAACTTACATTTTAATATGCAAAACACTGGGAATAATGTGTTCTTATATCAATTTGGAGTCATGGCAGGCTTCACTAAAACACAGTAATTTTGAGAAGCAAATCTTATCAAATGTATCCAGAGAAGCACATGGTTTAAATGCCACTAATGTCATTTAAAACAAAATAGATGCAAAGATTTGGACACATTGTGAAATGTCATGGCTAAAAGAGCCCCCAAATATTTTAGGAATTATGTATAAGCAGAAACCTTGTGTACCCAATTTTTCAAACATTATACAAGGCAGAAAAGCAAGCCTCTTACAATCTCCAGGAAGTAATCAATATAATCCATGAAAAGGCAATGACTTCAAATTCTGGACACTGGTGTTCCATTTTCTCTGAATTCTTATCTTTACCAAGTAAACAAATAAATGATTTAAAAAACCTTTATTCTTTGAATTCTGCCAAAGCTTACAGAACAGTATAAAAAATCTGTACTTTCACTCAAATGGGCACAGTTTTATACATCAAGACACAATTCCACGAACATAATCTAGGATTCTGTCTGGCTGTTTACTAATGATTTTGATTCAGAGTATTCCAGAAACCTGGAGTGAGTAAATATATAAACTTTCAACACTTGCACAACCTTTCACAGCACTGAACAACTTGCTTGATTCTCAGTAAAGTCCTAGCTGTGGCAACATGTAAATAAATATCAGTATGTTCAATGCAGAATGAAACTTCGTACAGAACAGTAGCCCTACGACTACCTTTCTAATAATGCATGAATACAAAGCATTTGGAACTTCTTTTGCTTATCTGTAAAATTAATTAGGCTCACACTAGAGTAACACTAGTGTCCTAGGAGGAAGTTCCCATTCACTTCAAGTGTGCTGTACCTTATTTTCTTAAAACATAAAATCTCTAAATTAGGTCAAATAATCTAATTTCATCATACTGTATGTTTTCTATTCCATTTTTTAAAAATACTGCCAAGGGCCAATAACTTAATGAAACTATCTCTGCTACCAACAATACTGCCACCACATGCACCAGTCACTTATGTTTGGTGGCACCTCAAATTACCAGTGGAAATCATTTTTAGGTTCCTCTACTTCTTAAAAGAGCATAAACATAATTCCTAGGAAAAAAGTGGTTCAGCAGCCTTAAAAGATTACATTGTGATTACTGTATGCCATCAAGCTGCCTGTGACATACAGTGACCCTGGTGCAGCTTTCAGGATATGTGAGATGTTCAAGAAGGGGCTTACCACTGCAATCTCGTGAGTTCCCATAGCTAAGCAGGGGTTTAAACTAAACTCTCCTGGAACACAGTCCCACAGTCTAGCTGCTACACCACACTAGCTCCCAAAAAGTAAAGGAGAACTAAGAAAATGCTCCCTGATTTTGTTTTGTTACTTCTGAGGTTCTTTCGCTTCTCTTCCCAAAATGAAAGACATCTTACTAATATTTTCCAGAGAGCATTGTTATAATACTGTAGTTAATTATAGGACTTCCTTGATTACCAAAATTATAACAATTATGAAGAAAAAATGACTACAGTGGGAATTTATTCACAATGCAAACATGGACTACCTTTCTGGGGAGAAGAGACTCAAAACACAAGGCAAACACAAGTGGTTAACTCCAGAAAAGCAGCTGGACCCGACTTAATTCCTGGTCGGGTGGTAAAAGACTGTGCTGATCAGCTAGCCGGGATATGGACTGTAATTTTTAATCGATCCCTGACACTATGCGCAGTTCCCGTCTGTCTCAAGGCTTCCGTCTTCGTTCCACTGCCTAAAAAGTTGCCTACAAACAGTCCGAATGACTACAGACTGGTGGCACTAACTTCAATCTTAATGAAGTGCTTTGAGCAGTTAGTTCGGAAATATATTATCTCCTGCCTTCCTGATCCCTTTGATGGGCTTCAGTTTGCTTATAAAGAAAATAGATCAACCGAGGATGCGATCAATACTGTGCTTTATATGGCTTTATCCCACTTGGAAACACAAGGGAATTATGTAAGAATGCTGTTCGCGGACTTTAGCTCTGCTTTTAACACCATTATACCCCACAGATTAATAGACAAACTTAAAGATCATAGGCATATTTTCTAAGAAATAAATACTATTGGCTGGATGGATAACTCAGTAAGTTAGGCATCTGACTGTTGAACCAGAGGCTGAGATTTCAGTTTCCACTGTGCATCCTCAAAGAGCCAGCACGTGTAGCGTTGGACAAGCTGCATAGTCCCAGGTTGTCCCTAGCAGAAGGGAATAATACATCACTTTTGAGTCCTCCCTACCTAGAAAACTCTGGAAAAGGTTTTGCAAGTCAGAATTGACTCAACAACGTACAATTATTAATAAATACCATTGTGTTCAGTAGAATTTACTTTAAAATCATATTTTGGATTCATCTGTAAGCAGAATGTACTTTGTCAAGTGTCAAATAGGTTGAAAGACATTCAATGTCTCTTGCTTTGAAAAGGATTGTCCCTTTGGTTTCTCTTCAGTTTGCTAATATGTCTTTTTCTTGACATTTTCTGATCTTTATCCTATTGGGCTACAGGATTACTTTGTTTCATCTGATATTTTTGTTTTTCTCGCTAGTGAATGCTAAAATAATCAGAACTTAGGAAATGCTAGCTAGAGAATTCAGGAGCTCTGGTTCAAGCAAGTAACTTTTCCAAGTTCTTAAGTTGATTTAGTTACAATTAAACCAAAAATCAGAGATGCTGAAACTTTTTCACCTCTAGGTTCATATCCAATAGGTGACTGCCTGGGCCTTTCTTGCCAAAAGCAGGAGTGGTCAGACCAAAAGCAGGTCAGGAGAAATCTGTACAACACACAAGCTTACACTCCACCTATGGTTATCAGCATAAATATACAGAGTGTAAATAAACATTATTATGAGATAGCTAGCAATACAGCATATTGTTCTCTCCAATTTTATGAAAATCATAGACAATAATAAACCTGTTCTGCTCTGTTGTTTTAATCTGTATCTCTATCTTTTGCCATTTTAATCAGGGTGATTTTGATTTAATTTTTTAAATGTAGTTTTTACCATTTACATTTTTAAAAAATCCTTATTTATTTATTTATTATTTTATTTATTATTTTATTTATTCATTCATTCATTCATTCATTCATTCATTCATTCATTCATTCATTCATTCATTTATTTATTAGATATACACCCCGCCCATCTAGCCACAAGTTTACTCTGGGTGGCTAACAATAAAAATAGAATAAAAACAGTAT